CGGGATTTGGACCCACAGTGCATCGCAGAAGGGTGCAGGGGTGGTGTCAGCGAGGACAATCGGGATTGGTAGGGCCGCATGTAAGTACAGAGCAACCCCACCAGCCCTCCCTCGTTTTGAGTCAGCTCGAAAAATAAAGTAACCGTCTACCGAGAGCTCCGCGTCAGAGACATCTGGTGTGAGCCAGGTCTCTGTGAGTGCGATTATGGACGGTTTTTCAAGGCAAGCTGACTGTTTAACATCGCCGAGTTTGTTGCAAAGGCTGAGGCGGTTTGTGTACAAGCATTTCGACACTGCCTCTGCTTCCTCCGAGGGTGAGGAGCCGAAAGTTGAGTGACCAGGGTGGTTAGCAGACTTAATAGTTGTGCACCAGGTTTGAGTCTGAGTCCAAGGCTCCAAGGGGGCCGAGTAAACTGGCCATCCTCGTTATCCTTGAGGGATGGGAGCGGTGAAACCGCTAGCTACTGAGAGAGTCTACAGAGAACACTACGCAGGTCTATATTCATCTCCAGCGTCCTCGTCAAATCTGTGGTGTTTTATATCATCCTTCACTTCAGTGACAGGAGTACGTATTTTGTAGAACGCACAACCGATTCTTGTTTGAATATGATAAATTACAAAAAACGCGCACTTGTACAATTTCACACGATACAAACGTGGTCACGTGCTCCGACTTTGTTCTAATTTCGCTCGCGCTTACAGCGGTCATTAGCGCGTCCCCTGCGCTAATGCTGGTGTCACAAAATTTCGGACTATCTTCGAAATCTAGAAGTGAGGACTGTTCAGAAAAAGAATCCTGAGTAAACATGACTGGTTTACTTTCTATTCACTGACCTTGGCCAACTGCGAACTATTCTGAAGATAACAATTTTATTAAGCCTGATCCATCTAACCTCTCCATTATTGTTTACTCAAACTAGCATTATTATTTCTATTTCTTTGTCACACACTTCTAATAAAGTAGTTTTTCGGTAGTCATGCCACTACAAATCAAATCTTGCCAAGGCGCAACTATGAACGGCCTCTAACCGGCTTGTTCTTCACGGTGGGGGACATACGTGAACTCTTGCACAAGATCAACCCATTCCGCGCGTTGGGGTCCCACGAAGTCTATTTAAGGGCCCTGAAGGAATCTTCGTTTACGCTGGTAAATAATTCCCATCTGGTATTTCGTCAGTCGCTTCTGAAAGCACATTTCTCTCTGCTTGGGAGGAGGTGACTGTCACGCCAATCTACAAATCTGACGATAGATTATTGCCCGTCGGCTGCAGGCCTGTAGTGCGTGCCGCGCTCGCATTCTCAAGCGAGATGTCCTAGATCACTTTACTTCCAAAAACTTGATATCTCCAGCTCAACACGGATTTTTGCCAAACCGTCCCTGCGTAACGGACATGCTCTTATTCATGGACAGCTTAACCCAAGCCAAAGAAGATGGACTTATATCGGATACCATAGGTTTTGACTTCCCAAAAGCATCTGATAGGGTCCCACACGTCCCGCTGCTCCACAAACATGAGTCTTTCGAGATTCAGGTGGAAATCCTACATTGGATCGAAGCGTTTCTATCAGGAAGATAATTCCGATTGAGAATAAGCTCGACCCACTCTTCTTCAGCGTTGGTCTCATTTGCAGTTCGTCAAGGTGCCGATTTGTGACCATTGCTGTTTCTGATGTACACCAACGACATACAGATGTTCTTGAAGGACCATGTCTACATTCTGAGGATGACTTAAAATCCTGGAGTTACAATACCTGTGCCACCCCAAATGGATGTGGACGCTGTAAAGCAGTGGTCGTTCGACCAACACGTTCAACAGTACCTAGGCACACTAGATACAGCCACCAGATTTGAGTACACAATGTACGAGGCAATATCCCGTCGGACAAGGTAAATCAAAATACTCTGAATTGTGCGTTCCAACAGACCAGTGCTGTAGCACAGAACTATTTCTTGATGAACCGTTTCCCTGCGGCGCGGTTCTGTGTCAACGAAACTCACGTGAAAATATTGGTTTAAAAGTGTACTTTGTGTGAGACTGCTCATGCACTGCACAGTAATTCCTTCTGCTTCCAGTCCCAGAGGAACTCCCCACTCACCACGCTCTTGCATCCGCAATGCCGGAATGGAGCTTGAT